TTTCTGATAACATCCATAAAAGGGTGTCCTCACCGAAATTTTTCAATAAAAACAAACTTGAATTTTCCCGCCATAGTAGAAATTTCTGATTCAGAGAAAAAGATTGTTTCTTTTTCACCTTTCTTACTTCCCTTCTTAATAAAATAACAATTATTTGTACCTTTACGAGATTACTTATAACTTGAGAGGAATACCACCACGGATTCCACCTGAGGGTTACCCACCAAATGGGCAAAGAAGACTTTGCCCGGCTTAGCCAGAGAAGAAGGAAACGCCATCAGAGGTTATCGTCATTAAAACTGCTGCGAGATTGCTGAAAGGTAGAGGAGTTGTCGGGTGCAGAAGCAGGAGCAGCGCAGAAACAGAAGAAAACCAAACAGTCGGGAGCAAACGACGAAGCTAACCAGACCCCCAGTCGGCGTTACATCCACACACACACACGCGCGCGCGCGCACACACACACACACATTTAATTGTGGTGGATATGAAATTAGATTCTATAGTTGGTAGGAAGATAAAGTAAAACAAAAATATAATATATTTGAATACATTGAATTTATTCTATAAATAGGGGTCAATATTTTTAAAGCGCACTACATGCGCAAAGCGAAGCGAAATGCTCAACGCCCACTTCACTTCACCGAAGTGCTCTTCGAAGTGTTGAAGTCAGTTGATCCTTTTCACGTCTTAAAGAGAGAATAAAGGCTTTGATCTGGTGTTCGAAGGAGCGCAAGGAGTAGACAGTCATGTTTGAGAGTTTGAGGAGCGAAAGGGAGTCGAGCATCGTCTTCGCCTCCAACCTAGATTTCGAAGTGTGTTTTGAACGCTAAGGTCTTCCTTCGACTTTGGCTTTGGCTTCAATTTAGCCAATCATGCCTCTCAGTTCCTATGTATTTACATATCCAACACTTAAACTTCAATTTTTACATATTACATTTAGATGTTAGATATGTAAAATTGCAAATACATAGGAATTGGGTGGTTGGTATTTACGTACCCATTTTTTGGTAGTGAGGGTAAACAAAAAAAAAGTTTTAAAGCAATTTTTAATTAATATTAAAACATTTTACTTGAAATATTTTATTTTGAAAACAAATAAACATTCTCTCTTAATGTTTGCCTTCAAGTTAAGTATTATGCCACATTCTTTTATATTTTACATTAACATTTAAGTTGAACTTTATATTTTATAATTAATAATGAAAGTATTTATGCATTAATAGTTTTATAAAATGTATTGACGCTTTGATCAATAAAAGTGCTGCTTCGCTTTGCGCTTTGCACTTTGAAGCAAAAATAAAGGCTTGCGCATCACAATGCAGTTTGCGCTTTGATAACACCGATAGAGTTAAAATAAAGCATAAATGATATATTTGAAGTTGGAGGACTAAAGCAAAGAAGTGTCTCAAAAATACTAAACAATGAGAAAATTCCATGAAAGTTTTGCCAGTTTTACATAAATTAAAGTAGAATAATTCTACTTTACTGATCCCAAGGGGAATAACAATGAGCTCATTCATGACCAAGTCAAAATTTGAAATTATACCAATCACGCCAAATGTATCTAAGAATACAAACAGCTGAGTGACATGTCAAAGAGGCGAGAATGCTAAGAGTATGCATGGTGTGGACCTATTGAAGCTATATATGCAGGAGTAGCAGCTGCTGAAGAGAAGATGATCAAAAAAGGAAGTTCGAAGATGTAACAACGTGGTGCATAAATATAATTTTTCTATGAAATGAATACGAAAGGAATTGAGAAAAACAAAGAAAACAGGGCTAGCGGATAGTTATGCAAAAAAATATGTAATATAAATTAATAATTTAATATCTCATTTAAATCTCAACAAGAATAAAGGAAGGAAGATTCGAAAGATCGCCTCAGATAGTTCAGAAAAGACAACTGATCACAATGACGAGTTTTTCGCCAACTCATAGTTTAAACACCGCCGAACCTTTGCTTCCTAAAATCGTCCTTCAATACAGAGTTGCAGTGAGAGGCCAGAGTCAACATAAGAAATCAGGATATACACGAACTTTCATCAAATTCAATTTAATCCGCCATCAAAACTCTACTATAAATGAAAATCTAATCAAATATAAGAACACAGCCATCTAATACAATCCCAGGAGTTTCTTGTATCGATCAAATCAGATCATAAAAGGAAAATTTTATACTGTAAAAACAATTAATGAGAGAAAGATGCAGAAAAAAAAATCTAAATGGAGACGATCTTTTTAAAACAAAGGCACCAAATTTACCAATTGACGAAGCGAAGGGGAGGCGGAAGTGTAACGGTCTCGCAGAAGAAACGCGATCGAGGATACTGCCTCCTCGAAAGTCTGCTTCTTCGCAAGCTTTGTCCGCAGCCCAAGCAGCTGCTCCTTCACCGTCTCCTCCGATGTCATCCTTCGATTTTCCTCAGGATATTAAGGGTGAAAGGTGCAATTTGAGAATTGAAAAACCTAGATTAGGGATCAAGCCCTTTCCTGCTCTGCTCCTGCTTCAACACCGATTTCTTGCGGCAGGGGAAAGGGGCGACGGGAGAATGCGAAGAAATAACAGCGGGTATAAATGAGACGGATTGGGCAAATACATAGGTTTGACCGCAACGGCACTTTAATGAAACTCGGAGAAGGAGCACCGTTCGATCAACTTGGCGATTGTCGCTCAGAGTGAAGAAAATACCCAACTAGTTGCTTTATCATGTCCAAATTCATTGGTCAACATCTAATTTAGAGTCAAACATGATGATTAAGTTTAGTCTAGTTTTGATTTCAAAGTGGGCTCATTTGTTAAATTTGAACTTTTTATATTTTATTTTTTTGATATTTGTTGTTGTTTTCAGTCTATGTGATACATATTCGAGCCAAGTTACATATATAATTAAATGTAAAACATGATAATTTTTAATTATCCATCAAAATTATATTTTTAAAGTATAACATTTTACAAATGAATTATGTGTGTTATCTCAAAATCAAATCCATAACAATTAAAAATGGGGAGGGAGTGTTCTAGGTTCTTGGGAGAAGTTTCTTAGGCTCTGTTGGGGTTTTGTCAACTCTCTAGGAAGAAATCCTAGTTTTTCTTCTCTTCTTTCGGTGTTTTGTGATTCCTTCTAGTTTCAGAGCTTGAAATAATTTGATATCTTCTAATATTTTAAATTATTGTGAATTTATTCTTTTTTATGTGTCTTGTGAGATGAAAAAATAACTTTCTCATACTTAGAAGTTGAGGAATGCTTAAAATCATGGAATCTTGCTCTTGTGGGTTTTGCCTTAGGTAAAAGATTATTTTGTGGAAATCTTTTTCAAATTATTGGTAAGATCTACAAATTAAAAGGGTCTGTTGATCTTATTTCTCTATCTAAAGAATTTTTCTTTTTAAAGTTTTTCCAGTCCCTGTTTGGAATATTTTGAAAAGATGCTTTTGCACTGTTTATGATTTGTTGGTATTAAGTCATTTATTTTCAAGAAATGATCACCTAATTTTTAACCTAGTAGATAAGATTTTTATGAAGTTCTAATATGGATAAAATTATTTAACCTTCCACTTTACTATTGGTCGAAGAATAGTATTTTTAATATTGCAAGAGATCTCAAAATTTATTTAGCAGTTGACCCTCTAACTGCAAAAGTTGCTCGGTAAACTTTTGCTATGATTAATGTTCAAATTAACGTTGATTATCCCCTTCTCAGTTCTATTTCTTTGGTTAAAGGTGAAAAAGTTATTATTCGTGAGTCTGTCATTTGCAAAATATATTCTCATAATCTCTCTACTTACCCTAAATCTTCATCTCAACCTTCCTTTGCTATTATTCCTATTTTTAGAGGCAGGAGTGTTAAAAAGAATAACAATTTTGCATGAATTTCAAAGAAACAAAAGTAATTATGTGAATGTTGCTAAACATTTTCACTATCCTAGATCTTTATATATTAACTCTAATGTTATTATCGCTCCCGTTACTAATTCACCCCTTAATCGTAACATTTTTTTTACATTACTTCTAATAGTAATGTATTTGTTGTTGTGGCTATTTTTGTTTTGCCTTCTATTAAGAATAATGAAGTTATCTCTAAACTGAGTTGTAATGCTTTGGTTCCTATGGTTAGTGGTTATGACAATTTTACTGCTACTTAACTTGAACATCCTTTTTAAGGTGGACATTATTTTGGTTAGGAATATTTATAGTAATACTCAAAGTATAAGGAATCAACCAACTAAGCCAACTCTGCCCCAACTTCCTCAAGAGTTCAAGTAAGAAAGGTTTGAGGAAATAACTATTAACTATTTATTTTCTTAGCTTTTCTTTATATATATATTTTTCTTTAATTTTTTAATGTATTTACTAAATATTGTTGCTTGGAATGTTAAGGGGTGTAATAATGATACCCAAATTGCATATTGCATGAGTCTTATTAAGGATCATAAATATGATCTCTTACCCTTTTTAGAAAAAAAAATCTCTCCCATTGTTTGTTCTTATCATTTTACTTTAGCCCATTTTAAAGTATTTTTTTCTAATGAAGACAATTTTGATAATTTTAGATATGATGATAACGACAAAACTTAGATCAAATGGAACCAAGTTGTTTTACATTTCTCTACTATTAGTATGAGTCGTTGGTTTATTAATTGGCAAATTACTTCTTATTCTTTTATTAAATTTTTATTACTGTGATTTGTGCTGATAACAGTATTGTTGTTAGAAAAAGATCTTTGAAATTCAATCATTTTTATTGTTAATGGTATGAGTGGTTTTTAGATTCTTATTTGGAACTTTAATTTTATTCATGGCATCGATGATAAAATGGGTGCTTTACCTCTTTTGCTTAGTAAATTTTTTGATTTTAATAATTGCATTTTTATGATTGTTGTTATTGAACTTAATAATATATATCATTCTTATAGCTTGTTTAAAAATCAACAAAATAATATTATTATGTACCTTTTATGTAGGGTTTTATACACTTTTACTTAGATTAATTCTTTTTTTCTAAATCTTTCTTTTAAGTCATGAATGTTTATACTTTGGATTATCATGTTATTTATTGTTTCTTGGAAAATTATGATAAATTACATAACAAATTTTTATATAAAAATTTTAGAGGTTTTGTCCCAATTTTTTATCTATTTTTTACTATGGTTTAAGAAAAATATTCATTTAATTCTTAGCGTGAATTGTTATAAACTTGTTTGGTTTAACGATTATGATATTAAATTGACTTATTATATTTAGAAAATTATTCATAAAGGTTTAAAAGCTTATGATATTCTCTATTATAGATGAATTATTTTTAATAATATTTGTGTTTTATGTTATAGTAGAATGAAATCCCACAATCATCTTTTTGTTTGAATGCCAATGGACACAATAAAACATAACCAATATGATTGAATATATATATTTGTTTATCTTCCTTTTGTGTTATGATTTGCTTCTATTTTCTGAATGGAGTACTGTGCTTCGTAATCACATTCACTTATCAATTTAGAAATACTTCATAATCTTTTTGTTTT